AGGCGCTGCTGTACGCGCTAGTACACGACCACCGGGACTACGCGCGCTACCTGCTCGGCAGGTACTCGGTGAGCGCGCTCAGAGCGTCGCGCTGCAGCTTCTGCTGCCACCGCAGCAGCAGTTCGCCGCACCTGTCGGTGGCGGTTCGCTACAACCGGGTGTCGATCCTCAGCATGATGGTGGAGGCACTGAAGGACTGTGACGTGCAGGGCGGGCAGCGGGACTACCTGGACGGCTGCGGTGGCTGCTCACATGTGGCGGACTCGGGTAAGACGGCGGTGGAGCTGGCGGTGGAGCTGTCGCGCCCCGACTGTCTGCTGCTGCTGCTGGCTCACGGCGCGCAGCCCGACGGCCTCGACGCCGCGCTGCAGCGACTCGTCTCCTCCGACGTCACAGAGCGACGCCACGCGCAGCGCTGCCTCGACTTCCTGCTGCTCTACCTGCCCAAACCGCCTGCGCTGCGCCACCTGCAGGAGGAGCCACAGCGCTGGCAAAGCCTGCTGGGAAATGAAGTCTTCAGCTGGCTGTGCGGTCTAGCCCCGCCCCCCCTCTTGCTGCAGGCGCTCAGGTGTTTGGCGCGGTCCGGCCCGGATGGAATCGCTGCGCTGCCTGACTTCCTGCAGCTGCACAGCTGGCAGTGACTGTCACCATGGCAACACACTCAGGACTGCTGTGATTGGACGCCGTATTGATGATGTAAATAAAATGTAAATAAAGACAAACAGACTGATAACTGATCAGCGATCAATACTGCTGTCCATCTGTCCGACAGGCTTTAGGACCCTGAGGAGACTGAAGTCACAGACCTGGAGATACAAGGTTTTAATGTGAAGTTTGTTTGTTTGACTTTTATTGTGAAATAATCTGATGGAAAGACGTTTACTTCCTGTTGATGTAAATGTGAAACATGTTTCTACCTCAGTGAGTTTCAAACTGATCCGAGCTCAGTCTGGACCGATGTTTATTCCTGGATATTGACTGTAAATAAACACAAACAAAGGTGGAGGTCTGTTTGTCTGCTGTTATTGTGACGTTAGCTTTAGCGGTGTGCCGACAGATGTACAGTGGGCTCTATCTGCCCCTGGTGGCTGACTGCAGGATTCATCATCACTTATTTAAAGATATAAAAAGGGAGTTACACGTCATGATTGACAGCTGAAAGTTGAAAAAACCTTCAAAAGTTCCGCTTTCTTCACCACATTTTTCAATTTTAAGTCAAACTCGTTTAAAAAAAAACTATCTAATGATACTCTTTTAAGTTTTACAAATAATCAATCAATAATCATTTAATATTTTCAGTTGCAACTATTATAGTAGTATACTATACTATATATAGGATTTTCAAGCACCCAAATAGTGACTGTAAAAAATATAAAATACAGATTTTTTTGTTTTGAAAACTCAAATAATGAAGTTTTTTATTAATGAATTATTTCAACTACAGATTAGAGTTCAGCCAAACATTTTAAATATATTTAAAATCTAAAAGTTTGACTTAAAACTTTAAATTTAGTGAAGACGTTCACCTTAAAATTCAACTTTTCTTTTACAGTGCAGTAAAAGTAGAAACAGATCAGTGAGGAGTCGCCTTAAGAACATGAATGAATGTTTCACTGAATCAACACACTGCAGAATGAAGGTCACATAAATGAATAACATAAATATCATTATAAAAATATAATCAATTGTAATGCTGTGTATCTTAGCATTTCATTTACTAATAATTCTTAATAATGTAAAGATTAGATGTTTGTCACATAAACACATAACCATCAGCCCATTTCTCTCACTGTAACGTGGCCACAGCACAGGCTAAAATACTATCACTCTTTCCAGAACAACAGAGATTATTTCCAGGATGTTTGTGTGTTTCCATAACTAGTCTCTAAATTTCCAGGTTTTCCAGAAGGAAACTTTAATACTTTATGATCTAAAGTAATGGAAACACAATTGCTCTTATGTTCAGGTAATTAAACACTAATGAAAACATACCTGAATATTATATTAGTTGAGATCAATACAACAAGAATATGATTGTAATATATTCATGGTTGAGCTGCAGTTCACCGATCAGCCACCGGGGGCGCTGTTAACAACAGTTTAATGACGCCATCCTGAGTTTGATAATAACAGCAACCCGATCAATAACCCGACGCTGCGTCAGTGTCTGAACATGTTTATTAAGTTAATGGATGAAATCACACAACAGATGTTACACCGGATGACGTCAGCTGTTCGGGTTTCCATAGCAACGCTGTCAGAGACGAGGAGGAGGAGAGAGGACGAAGAGTTGAAGGGACCATTCCAGAGTTTGTTTACTTTAGTTATTTAATATAAATACAGTTCAGACCTCAAACCACCACAGTCCATCAGAGTCCAC